GTCCCACCCCCAACCTATTGCTGCCTCCCGGGTCCCAGCTGATCGGCTAGAAGGAAAAAAAACTGTTTAAACTCTTGCCACGGGGCTTCAAAGGGCCGCCCTACAGCTGATCAGTGTTAAAAGGCAGTGTGGTGGTAGACTGGTGCCTCCAAAAACGAATGAGTAGACCGGTACAGCTCTGCAAGTAGTTAAAAGCCTGGTAGACCAGTACCTCTGCTAAATCCTAAAGAATTGTCACATGATCATCAAGCCACACCTACAAAAGAAAACGCCCACAGAACTGGTAGTAAAGAAAATTTAGAACCCACCCCTGATCTACTACTAAGTAATCTACTAATCTACTACTAGGTGGCTGAGTGGCTAAGACATTGAGCTTGTCGATCAGAAAGGTTGGTGGTTCGAATCCCTAGTACAGGTTTCCTGCATGAGCAGGGGGTTGGACTAGATGACCTCCAAGGTCCCTTCCAACTCTGTTACTGTTACTTAATCTGGCAGCTTTAGCTGTACTGGAATGGCCACTTTGAATTCTGGGAATTATAGTCCCAGCACATTTAAACGGCATCAAGTAGGAGAGAAACCAGCTAAACTTCAGACTGTTTTGCTTAAATGGAAGACTACCGAAGACAGAATGTCATATTGCTTAGTAGAACTATTTCAGAATTCCATCTCTAATTTGTACTTTTAGTAGTTTAGGGGGGAAAACAACCCTTTGACATATGTCTCTTCTTGGCAAAGAAACAAGTTCTAATACTCTAGATTTTCTTCAACTTTTTTCATAAATATATTCACAGATCTACCCCCAGGTGCTAATTGCTTGCATGCTGTTTTTTTTACAAAAGCTTCAGGACACCTTGAATAGTAACAGGTGCAGTTAAGTGTTAATTTCTCTTCCAGGCTCCATGTTTACGTTACACAATGACTGCCTGTGACAAAGCTCTCAAACAGGGGAAGGACTAGTGTCTCCATGTCAAAGTCTTTACTAAGGCAGCATAATGAACTTAGACTAAAACTAAACCCTTCCCAACAAATAAACCTAATTACTTTACCGGGGACAGAGATCAGCAGGAAATAAATATACTACTATAATATTATAAATATACTAAAAGATAGCTAACTTTCATCATACTTTCTTGGCTTAAACGTCTATTAACACTGGTGGTAGAATGGTTATCTATAGCTTTTCTCTCGACACCTAACCATTTTTTCCCCACTTTTCCACAAAGGTTAAGAATTGAACACAGATGATAGAAATAGTGAACTATGTTCACTTTGTTTGTTGGCATGCATAGTTCTACAAACACACCAAAGGCAATAGATATGCTGACACCTCATGGGTGGATATCACGGCCAGTAGGAAATCATCAGCCAATCATTACTGCATCAATGGATGAAAGCAGTAGTGGGTTCCGCCCGGTTCCGCCGAGCCGGTAGCAGTTACGATATGACGTCACTGAACCGGTTCTGCCTCCCCCCCCGCCCCCCTGCATTATTCTTACCTTTTATTTCGCCCCACCCCCAATCTATTGCTGCCTCCTGAATCCCAGCTGATGGCTAGAGGGAAAAAAACTGTTTAAACTCTTGCCACGGGGCTTCAAAGCTGATCAGTGTTAAAAGAAAACAAATGAGTAGACCGGTGCCTGCAAAAAGAAATGGGTAGACCAGTGCCTGCAAAAATACATGAGTAGATCAGTGCCTGCAAAAATAAATGGGTAGACCAGTGCCTGCAAAAATACATGAGTAGATCAGTGCCTGCAAAAATAAATGGGTAGATTGGTACAGCTCTGTAAGCAGTTAAAAGCTTGGTAGACAAGTACCTCTGCTAAATCCTAAATAATTGTCACATGACCATCAAGCCATGCCCACAAAATAAGCCACACCCACAGAACCGGTAGTAAAAAAAATTAGAACCCACCCCAGGGTGAAAGGCTTGACCAATGCTAGACCCTTGTGTTTAACCACCTCTCAAAACTAACTCCTGGCTTTATACTCTGTTTTTCCTGGTCAGGCCAGCAGAAGACCTGTCCACTATAAATGGGAGCACTCTCGAAACTTGCTCCAGGCTCTGCTCTAAGTTGGCACGAGCTTTACTCTAGGTTTTGCTCCTTGCTTTCCCTGTGTAACCTCACTGTGTGGGTTTATGGAGGCAAAGAAGACTAAGTTTAAGTAAAAATTGCTGTGACCCTTGCCCGTGTTTCTCACAATCTCACCAGTGATCCAGTGGTGGGTTTCAAATTTTTTTTACTACCGGTTCTGTGGGCGTGGCTTGGTAGGCGTGGCATGGCTTGGTGGACATGGCTTGGTGGGCATGACAGGGGAAGGATACTGTAAATTCTCCATTCCCACCCCACTTCAGGGGAAGGATACTGCAAAATCCCCATTTCCTCCCAATCAGCTGGGATTTAGGAGGCAGAGAATAGATGGGGGCGGGGCCAGTCAGAATTTTTACTACCGGTTCATCAAACTACTCAAAATTTCCGCTAACGGTTCTCCAGAACTGGTCAGAACCTGCTGAAACCCACCTCTGCAGTGATCCATGAGTGACAGTTTGAAATCCTCCCTACCGTATGCGTAACCTCCATCTTGATATTACATTGTATGTACTATGAATATGCATTGGATTTAGATGAATTATGAATCCCAAGCTGAATTAGGCTTTCGCATAGAAACAGGAGTTGCTCAAATCATAGCAGAGCTTCTCCAAAGCAGACTGAATCTGAATTTGAATCTTTTCAAGCTTTAGTAGCGATTCACAGCTTGGAGACGGGGGACAAGAAGAGAAAGAGGCAGATAAAGATCGTATGTCTGCAGAAAAGGAAAAAAAAACCACTCCCATTTCTATCTAACTCTATAATGAAAATTCCAGGATCGGAAAAGTGTTTGCCTGCACACACCCTTAATATTTAGTTGCATGCTTCTGCCTCATTATCAACATAAAAGCTTTCATAAGATTGATAAATTTTGAAACTCCATTATCTCTTATAACTTGTTGCAAGTTAAATATTAGCAACATTGGATCATATCAGAACTCTATAGCTGACGATAGACAACCGAATTTAAGGCTCATTCTCCACCCTACTTCTTCCATATGTAACAGGTCCAGCAATGCCCACATAGCTCAGGGAACAGTCCCCAGTGTGGAAAGAATTCAGGTTTGCCCTTATGCTTTCCATGCAAAAGTTAATTCAGTTTGGCATAGGCAACAACAGGCGCAAATGACAAGGGGCAGAGATTCCATCAAGATATCATAACATAAGTTACTTTAATGGATTCTCAGTTTACTGCAGATTCTTCTCTGCATTGGATTAGGAAAATGACTTCCAAATCTACCAAATTAGGATCAGCTACAATCTCAGATCTTGATGGCTCCTTTTGTAATACACAATTATGATTAGATAGATGATTAGATACCATCACTTCTGGGATTTGCATTCCGCAAAGGCCTAGAGGAAATCAACATGGAGAAGGCTAACCAAAGAGTTATTCAGTCCAGCAACTCTTTTTAAAGGCAGTATTCAAGCTACAATTCTAAACAAATATCTTCTCAAGCCAATAACCTCAAATGTGTACCTCATAGAAGATTAAGATACATGGGAAAGGCTTTGCTACAGAAGCTTAGAGTGTATATCTTATCATTTGATATATGTTGATTTTCTGTCAAGTCATAGACTCTGTTTAATATCTTTTACCCAAGGTAAGCCTCAATATGTGACAGCACCTGGTTAATCTCTTCTGAGCTGAAGGTTGGAAATGAAATTGGGCCAAGCCTTGTTCAGTACTTGAATCAGGCAGTTACAGAGAGTACCTGGCTATAATTTAGACCAGGGGTCTGCAACCTTAAATACTCAAAGAGCCATTTGGACCCATTTCCCACAGAAAAGAAAACACCGAGAGCCACAAAACCTGGGTGGGTGTGGCCAATCCGATGCCACTCACTTCTACCAGAGACCCCCCCTAGCCACACCTACCCAGCTGGTCATTAGGGCAGAGAACCAATTGTTAAAAAACACCGGGAACCACAAAATCTTTTTGAAATATCTCTCTGTCCTCCCTCTCCCTCCCCCCTCCCTCTCTCTCTGTATCTCTCTGTCTCTGCCCTGGCCACTTCTCCATCCCCCACCGTCGCCCTTACCTTCTCAGGCCAGGCGAGGAGTGACTGGGAGGGGAGGGCGAGGCCAGCCAGTGGTGACAGGGAGCCACAGCAGAGGGCCCAAAGAGCCAAATGCAGCTCTGGAACCGCAGGTTGCTGACCCCTGGTTTAGACAGAGAAGTTGAAAAAAATATTCTAGAAGGATGGCAGTGACAAACTATTTTGCTTACTGTTGCCAAGAAAATTTAAGGGATCTGTTCACTGAGTTTTATGTCAAACTTAACTTGAAGGAAATTTAGCCAAATCCACCTTTTAGCCAATGTGAAAAGCTACACATTAAGGTATGTAAACAAGCAGAAAATGTTATGGATATATTTCCGATGATCATGATCTGGCATCTTGAATCATTTTTTGTAGCAAAGTTTGTCAATACTAGACTAAAAATAGCTAGTCTACTGTAATCAGTTGTGATCAAAAAGTCACTAAAAAAGGAACCGAGATATCTCACTAGACTAGATTGATCACTAAAGTGACTATGAGGTCCACATTTTATTCTGTGAATTTGGGACACTCGTAAATTACCACCAAACCTAAGGCCTGAAATGAATCTATGTATGCACTCACTCTAGAATTTGAGTAAAACCCTCATATATTCTAAGAGGTATTTATCACTTTGATAAATCTGACCTGTTTCTTTGTGCCCTGTATTCTCACCTTTCTATGTATAAATAAATAGTAAAATCACTCTTCTTCTGCATGATTCTTTCTGTCACAGACCTGATATATATCCAAAGAAAAAAGGGAGGAAATGGGTTCAGAAGAAGCAATGATGTAATAATGCAATCTTGGAGAGAATATGAAGCGAGAATTCATTATATGGTTTTGCAATGAGCATTCCAGATCCCCTTTGATTTAATCAAGAATGGTGAAAACTTTAGCACAAAGACACAGATGCTGGTTTACTGATGTGCAACATAGCATCTGAAACAAGAATATAAAGTATGAAAGTGAGAGAAATGGAGGATGGGAAACACAAGATTTTCATGGCAAGAGTTAGAAGAAGATAAATGTTTGCCTGGATTATGAATGTTTGTGTTGTTTCTGTTTCTTCCCCCCACATTTTGAGTTGCTGTTGCTTATTCAAATAGATTCTACAAGAGGAACATGGGAGACATTCATGCTACTGAGGGAGAGCAGTGAGAATACATTTCCTTGGCCTATGGATTCTCCAGGCCTTTGAGTCTCCTTCTTTATCCCTACAAGCTGACATGTGGGAACAGTTCCGTGGCAAGTCTCCATAGCCCTTAGAAACATGTGGCTTCTTCTCAGAGTTTGCAGGAGAGCGAGACTGGTGGTTCCATTTGCTTCTTCCTCACATGACACCTCAAGAGTACCTCAGGTGCAGCTTTGTCATTTCCTAGAGTTTTCTCTTGCACACCACAGAGATCACACGGCAGTCTCTAGATCCTCGTGGGGCACTACTGGATGATTCTGATGACTCTCCAAGTAGGAGGCTAAATCTGGATCCCCAGCCTGCTGGGCCCTGTCTCGAGGTGTCTTACCCTATAATGACAAGGCAGGGGGGGAAAAAAAAGAGAGAGAGATAAACCCTCAGCAATAGAAAGGGGGAACCAACATGTACAGCATGTTGAGCATACGGATTCATTCCTTTCAACCAGGGGTGTCAAAATGGCAGCCTGTGGGCCCTGTGGGGTTACGTGCAGGCCACGCCCACCCCAGCTCAGTGAATGGGGAAACATCACGAAACGTCATGTGACAGCAACGTGACCTGGTGAGTTTGACACCCGTGCCTTAGTCCTTTATTTGACTGAATATGAATTCATTTTTTAAAGTGAATATTGAAAACACAGTTACATTTAGCATGGTTCCTCTGACAATTCTGCTGTCTTGTTTTGATCGGCCACCATATATAAAGCTCCAATGAGCTTTGTTTTGGAGGATTCTAAGTCTGAAGCCCTGTTTTAAATCAACAGTTAAGCCAATGAAACTTCGAATGCTACAACCTAACAATATCTTCTTGGAGTCTTAAACTGATTAGTTACCAAGAACTACGTATGCAGTGGCCTCCAAATTAAAATTAAAAACATCTTCACCGGTTTAGGCGCTACATGAAATCCCATCGTTTCAATTCTTAAGTAGCATTTCAAGCCCATATAACCCTTTTAAAGTGCTGATTTACTAGCTGGCTATATTGCTCCTACACTGTGGTTTTACATGACTTATATTCTTGTAGATTCCACAGTTTTGACTACTGTCAAAAGCCATCCTGAAATTGCTGATAGCAAGTGACAAACGATAGGTAAATAAAACCAGCAGGGCCTCTGTCGAAGTGAACGCAGTGAAAGCGTGCTGAAAAACAAGCACGCGCAGAGGCTCTCAACATATTTGCAAAGGGTTGGCTACATATTGATTTCACTTGCACACAGAACTATTAAAATGGATTTGTTTGGTTTGGTTTGGTTACCTTGGAGTCCATTTTCCTCAACGATGCCCCTGCCTCTACCAGCAGCTGGCAGATGCCACGGTGGCGTTGGCAAGCTGCCTTGTGCAACGCTGTCTCACCCCTGGGTGTTTAATGGGGACAAAAAAGAAAACCCTATCAGTATAATGAATTACATTCAACAGGACATAATTTTGAGGGTTGCTGACACAGGCACATTTTCTTAATTTGTCCTCTAGATCTTTGGTACAGCAGAATATGGTCTTAAGAGTGCTCAAAGTTTTCATTTTAGTTTTGCTTTGTTTTATTGCCATGCTTAAAGCAACGTACTGAATATTAAGTTGTTACCCACACTGAGGTCCAATTTTAAATCACTTACATGATGGGTTTTTTCCCCTACACCTCTGCCCATTTGGATGAATTCCCTTGAAGAGTAAATTTCCTTCTCTTTCATTCCCAGAATCAGAACAATAAAATTCTTTGGCTTAAAACGGTGGAGTATGCTTACATGTGTGTGCTATAAAAACTTTAAAGCAGACATCAATATTTATGTTGTATAATTCCCTAGATTTTGGAACTGAATATTATGTCATCTCTGAAGATATATACACTATAAAAGCTGGGTGTTAACATTTAAACCAATATGAAGAAGTTTTATTCCATTTTTTGGGGGGTGGGCTTGGACTTAAAACCAAAGGATTTAGCAGAGATTGCAAATACAAGCTGTGATTCTCACAGACTGCCTAATGATGGATCTTTATGTTTTTACTGTAGTAATTACACAAGGAACAAAAGAAAGCAATTAATTCTATCTGGAAGCTAAGAGATGCAAGTATAGATTAACTAGATCCCAACCACAGCTAGATCTCTAGAGATCTTAAGGATTTCTTTCACCTTTTTCTTGCAGCACCATTAAATTCTTTCAGATGCTTTTAGACTAGCATTATGCCAATCTCTTCACTTTCCAATAATTTGCCCAATTTCAAATTAGGAAATATTAGTTCAAGGTGATAGCTTAGAGGTGTCTATAAAGCTTTGTATAGATGTTTTGGCTTTTTACTTCATGGATGCCCCCAGCTCATATACTGCTTCACTGTAATGTATAAGTCTTTTTTCCCCAGCTTTTTCTGGGCAACAATTACCTGATAGCACCATACTGGCAACTGATCAATAGGGCAGAGTCAAATGATCATTCTGAGGCACAATAAGTTGAATGGAAGAGACCAAACAGACTCTTACAAAGGAGTATACAAACTTGGGGGGAAAAAATTAAACTGAAATTTAAATGCCGATCTTTTTTTGTCAATAAAATGTCCCCAAGAATTTCCACAAAATTGCTTTTAGTCCCTTTGTGGGAATAGTAAAACATGGATTTGACCCAGTATTGATTTGAACTTCAGCTTTCATCACTACTGGTCATGTTAGCTAGAACTGAAAAGTTTTTTTTTTTATCTTTCTCTTTTAGATTTGGAGGGAAAAATCAAAACAAAAGCCCTAATCTGTCATGAACTTTCATGTATCTAATAATGTCCTCAAAGTAATCATTTTGGATTTGGTAGACAGGACTGTAATGCTTGCTGTGGTGGGGAGGAGAAGGGGGAATCAGAGAATTTCAGAACTTCGTGAGTTTTAAAAGGAATACCATAGGGTTTTTAAATAGGAAAGGACAGGCTGAAGTTGTGTAAATCAACACATTAAATTGTTATTTTATGCTTAATCTTACATGACATTGCTTTGATTTTCTATGCAACTAAAAGTAAGCTGGAATGAAAATATGAGAAGAGGAGCTGAGTCAGCAAGACTTACGTTTCGCTATCTGTCATATCCAGTAACTCAGAAGGACCTACAAAAGAAAGTAAAACAGATGATGTTCTTGTTTCCTAAAGGTAAATGTAAAGGTTCCCCTCGCACATATATGCTAGTCGTTCCCGACTCTAGGGGGTGGTGCTCATCTCCATTTCAAAGCCGAAGATCCAGCGCTGTCCGAAGACATCTACGTGGTCATGTGGCCGGCATGACTAAATGCCACAGGCACACAGAACGCTGTTACCTTCCCACCAAAGGTGGTCCCTATTTTTCTACTTGCATTTTTTATGTGCTTTCGAACTGCTAAATTGACAGAAGCTGGGGCAAGTAACCAGAGCTCACCCCATTACACGGCACTAAGGATTCAAATCGCTGAACTGCCGACCTTTCGATCGACAAGCTCAGTGTCTTAGTCACTGAGCCACCGCGTCCCTTTTTTCCTTGTTTCCTACTGGATGTTGAAATCTGTTCCTCATCCTGCTCCCCCATAAATTTTCTTCCTGTGTGAAAGACACTTTTGTGTTGTTTTTTGTATTTAACTCATCCTCAAAGTACTTTAACGCTTGTTTCAGGAATTTTTCTTTTTGAGTCTATCTTATTACTGGAGATGGCTGAGGATGCAATAGTTAATGTTTTTTTCTGCAAGTTCTGTAATCATTGTTTGCTACCCAGACTTCCCTATCTTGAAGAGGCCTCTTGAGATTGAATTGAATTATGGGAGGCAGCAGAATTATGGCGAGATGCTGATATAACGAAACAGGATATTCACTCACAATCAGCTATACTGTTCATAGCAACAAAATGATTTTTCTTCTTCTACTGGAAGGGAGGGGGAGCAAACAATTTCTCCAAGCTGAATGAATTTAGAAAGTGCATAAGATATTTTTACTCCGTCACCCTGAATTAAATTCTAGATTCAACTTCAGAGACGAAAGGAAGAATTTCATTCCCTTTCTCACCCAGTAAAAGTTGTGTCTCAATCTTGCTTTGGGCCAAGGTTCCCAAAAATGGTCCACATCAACCCCCAAGGGTTAATGGGAGTATCCATTGTTGTTATTGTTATTATTAGTAGCAGTAGCAGCAACACTATTATTATTATTAAAGTATGTGCTAGTCGTTCCCGACTCTAGGAGGTGGTGCTCATTTCTGTTTCAAAGCCGAAGCTGTCCAAAGACGTCTCCGTGGTCATGTGGCTGACATGACTAAATGCCAAAGGTGCACAGAAAGCTGTTACCTTCCCACCAAAGGTGGTCCCTATTTTTCTACTTGCATTTTTTACATGCTTTCGAACTGCTAGGTTGGCAGAAGCTGGGACAAGTAACGGGAACTCACCCCATTACGTGGCACTAGGGATTTGAACCGCTGAACTGCCGACTTTCGATTGACAAGCTCAATGTCTTAGCCACTGAACCACCATGTCCCTTCTTTTATTATTAAAGTAGCATTTATTAAATTATTTTCATATAATAAATCTTCATACAGGTGTGGGGGATCTTTGCCTTAGACTATTAACAGAGAACAAAGGTGAACAGGCCCCTTTCCAACATATCCTTGTAGAAAGAAGGTGATATGAGAAGTAACTGTAGGGAGGAGATAACTTATGGGTGGGATAGTGCTTTGCATGATGCAGTTCTTGGTCCAACATCTCCAGTTAGAGAACAGGTTAAAGGACAATCTACTGCCTGAGACCTGGTAGATTTGATTCCAGCTAGAATAGCAATGGAAAAAATATATCTATGCATTTGTTAAGAGCCAACCCTGACTTAATAGCACATAATCAGTCAAAATCGATCAACAATAGCAAAAAAAATAAAATAAAAAATAGTTTATCTCTTTGAAGATCCCTGAGTTTGGTAATAAGGAAGCAGCAAATAATTTATAACAAGAATAACAGTAAATAAATAAACACTACTATATTCTTTATAAACTCCTGAAGGTACTAAAGACTGAACAGGCCCAAACCAAGGGGGCAACCATCTAAAGATTAAGAAAAAATAAGAGGGGAGCCAAAAAGAAAGTAAAGAAGGGAGAGGTTAATCGTGAACTATGAGACTTATTCAACATTATGGGCCTCCAAATAAACTCCCCCCTTCTAACTTTCTGTCCCTCAGAGCTACTGTTTGCTGCCAGCTAATGATTCCAGATCCCACTCCGGTGCAGAACAATAGCTACACAGATGTGGGAAAGGTTGGCACTTGGAAAGCAAACGCAACTGTCCTTCTGCCACAGCAGGGAGCTGGCTGTCTTAGCAAGGGACAAGCAAGAAAAGAAAAAGAAAGGGGCCTGGGAGAGGGAGAGAGAGAGAGAGAGAGCAAGAGAGAGAGAGCGCCAACCAACCCAAGGCAAGTCCAATAGGGAAACGCATCAGTGAGATTTCCATCAAGCAAAACAGCAGGGAGGGAAAGTAAAATAAAACAAGAGGGAGGGTGGGAAGGAAGGAAGGAGATGCAAGGAGGCAAAGAAATAAATAAAGGGCTCTGGGAAACCAAGAGGAAATAATGGGGGCACTCTCACTTGAAAAGAACTAAAATGTGGGTAGTATTGGAGAGGGTGCCCCATGGGAACCACAGTCTTCCCTTAATGTCTCTAATCATCCATCTCTTTCCAATTATTAACTCCTTTCTCCTCCCTCTGCCTTCAGTTGCTCAAGCCAACACATGGACTGGTGGTTTCCCAGGATGCAAATGAGCTTGAGTTTCTATACCCTTGCCTCTACATGCGAGAAAGCAGAGGATGGGGAAAGATGGCAGAGAGCTCGTCCATCTCTGAGCTCATAGTAAGAGAACAGAGAAAGCAAAAATGTCAAGTCTTTGTGGAATTTTTCAACTAAAGGGCTCTATGATTGCCATTCTCTCCTTCCCAAACAATCCCACCCTCTGGATTAGATGTCAAACAAAGAGATGTTTACCCTGATCCAGTGGTGAAATTCAAATTATTTTACTACCAGTTCTGTGGGCGTGGCTTGGTGGCATGGCTTGGTGGGCATGGCAGGGGAAGGATACTGCAAAATCCCCATTCCCTCCCATTCCTGGGGGAAGGATATTGCAAAATCTCCATTCCCACCCCACTCTGGGGCCAGCCATAGGTGGCATTTGCCAGTTCTCTGAACTACTCAAAATTTCCACTACCAGTTCTCCAGAACCTGTCAGAACCTGCTGGATTTCACCCCTGCCCTGATCCCTTTACATGCAACCAATCTATTTTCTTTTGTAATGACACATGTATGATTAATACACAAACAGATGGATGGGCCAGAAAGAACTCTGAAGTTGACTAGGACAGCATGGTAGCAATAATCACACATATTCCATAACCATTTAGAAACCACTATGGCTAAAGAAAATGTTTAGTACCCTAATCAATGAGGAAACTGTGTAAATAATGGTAGAAGTTACCATTGAGATTGAGAAAGAGACATACCATCCATAGGGATGAGAAGAGAGAGAGATTTAGATTGAGACTGAAATTCAGGACATGGTTCTAGCCATTATTAAGCACTTGGAAATTCTTCTGGTTGTAATGGGAAAATATCAAATGTAAGTTTTATCATCCACCATTTACTATGTTCCATTTTTTTGTTCCAGATTTTCAAATGAAAGGGAGTATATGTATGCTGAAAAAGGGCCAACTCAGCTTTTTTCAATCACACTGTAAAGGTCTCTGTAAAACTATTTCTATACTAGCTATATAAGAAAGAAAGAAAGAAAGAAAGAAAGAAAGAAAGAAAGAAAGAAAGAAAGAAAGAAAGAAAGAAAGAACCCCAAAATTTCTTCTTTACTTCCAGCCTCAGGTATCTGATCTATCTGAGAAATTTGAGGCAGTTTTCTCTATTTATATATAACTCTTCAGAGGATTAATTCATAAAACAGGCTCAGAGTGAGAAACAAATAAGCAATAGATTTGACAAGATGATTATCCACTTAAATTCACCCATATAACAGTAGGTGAAACAGGATGAACAATTCACTCACCGTGTTCTAGAATGTATTTTACAATCTCACCATGCCCAGTCTTTGCTGCATGATGAAGCAAGGAACAGTGGTCAGGTCCCCGGATTAATAAACTAGTTCCTTTTTTACAGCATTCTACAAACTGGAATAGAGAGAGAGAAAAAAATGTAATTATTCAAAATCATTACTTCATTTCAGTAGTGGTCATAAATGAGTACTGATGGAAGAGAATATTTGCAGCTCAGGGTTGGACTGTGGGATCCTTGGTGCTCTCTGAGCTTAGTTGCTGCTTCCTACAGACTTTCATTACCCAACTAGGTAACATCATCAATGCTGGCCTAAATGAATGTACTCAGCTGCCTGTCTACAGATTCCTAGAGACAGAGGAAAAACAAGTTGCTGGCACAGGGTGGAATGAAAGGGCATTTTAAGTTTAATTTTTTTTTTTGATTGGCCATTGTTCTCTTTTCATTTGCTGAGGTCAGTCAAGGTCAAAGGTGCAATCCCCTAACTGGATATTTCTTTCTTTTTTCTTTTTTAATCCAAGATCAAAATTCTTATGGTTTTACAGTGCATATGGCAGCCTTTTCCAACCTAGTCTTGAGAAGGTGGCCACTCGAGGTGGGAATGTCGGATGCAACAATCTCAACATATCTCAAAAGTTGTAGGTTTGGGAAAATCTATGAATTTTGTCTTGGATAGATTTTGTAAGGTTAGGGTTAGGGTTAGGGTTAGGGTTAGGGTTAGGATTTTGTAAGGTCTGTTGATTGAAAAGACCACTCACTCAGAGTTATAGATCAGGGCAATGAATGAGCTGAGAAGGCCTCTGTCAAGACTGTAGAGCTGAGAAGAAATAAGAATATTCCTAACCTATGCACTAGACAACTTGCCTGAGACAAAAACAAACAAACAAACAAAAAAATGCAAAAATTTACATTGGAAAAAAAACCATCTGAAATAAGTGTAATCTGCCCACCAGAAAAATATATCCTTTGAATTGAACTCTTAACTGCTACAAAACAAAGGATAATAATTGGTGGGGGGAGGGAGGGATGGAATCCTTTCCATTTTTCACTCTGGCATTAGCGGATACAGATTAGATTTAGTATTCCTGGAACCTGTTTAATAGCTGGACTGCATTCATAGCAAATACTGAAATTACAATGAAATGCAAAGGGAACCAGATAATGTACCATTAGTTTGGTCATATATCAAATCATGAGAGAACTGACTGTGGCGCACTTTGCTTATTCTGGCAGCTACTTGAATCTAATCTAAATTCTTATGCTAATGATGATCTTTGAAGTTGCAATGTTGCTAAAATTCCAAGGTATTTGTGATTGTTCGTTAAGCATTAGCTCTTTTGTTTTGTTTTTTGAGATTAGAAAGGTATTTCAGAATAAAGAAATGAAATCCTTTCAAAGACAGGTTGGCACCTCAATGGGATTACACTCCAAAATATGGGTAGGGGCAGCTCAAATAAATGAGCAATATTAAGAGACAACACCCTCCCCCCTAAATTGGATGTTGCTTTTTAATCAAATTGAAGTTATTGATATGATTATTCTCATGTATCTATTGAGTAAAAGCCACTTGGGTGTAATGGTTAAGATACCAAGCTGGAAATCAGGAAACTGAGTTCCAGTCCTGCCTTAGGCATGAAGCCAACTGGGTGTCTGAGCTAGTTACATATTCTCTATCCTAGGAACGGGGTGGCTCAGTGGCTAAGATGCAGAGCTTATCAATCAGAAAGGTTGGCAGTTCGGTGGTTCGAATCCCTAGCACAGTGTAACAGAGTGAGCTCCCGTTACTTGCCCCAGCTTCTGCCAACCTAGCAGTTCGAAAGCAAGTAAAAATGCAAGTAGAAAAATAGGGACCACCTTAGTGGGAAGGTAACAGTGTTCCATGCACCTTCGGCGTTTAGTCATGCCGGCCACATGACCATGGAATTGTCATCAGATAGTGCTGGCTCTTTGGCTTAGAAACTGAGATGAGCCCCGGCCCCTAGAGTTGGGAACGACTAGCACGTATATGCGAGGGGAACCTTTACCTATCCTAGGAAGGAGCAATGGCAAACCACTTCCCAAAATAGTGCCAAGACAAATACAGGAATTTGTCCAAGAAGTTGCCAGAAGATAAGATTGTTTCAAAAGTTAACAACACTCGGGGTTGCCATAAAGAAGAGGGAGTCAAGCTATTCTCCAAAGCACCTGCGGGTAGGAAATGAAGCAATGGGTGGAAACTAATCAAGGAGAGAAGCAACTTAGAACTAAGGAGAAATTTCCTGACAGTTAGAAGAATTAATCAGTGGAACAACTTGCCTCCAGAAGTTGTAAATGCTCCAACACTGGAAGTTTTAAAGAAGAGATTAGATAAACCATTTGTCTGAAGTTTCCTTCCTAAGCAGGGGGTTGGACTAGAAGACCTCCAAAGTCCCTTCCAACTTTGTTATTCCTATTCTATTCTATTCTATTCTATTCTATTCTATTCTATTCTATTCTACTCTACTCTACTCTACTCTACTCTACTCTACTCTACTCTACTCTATTCTATTCTATTCTATAGTTCTACTTGGTCACATAAAACAAAATAGTTAAAAAAAAATTGAAATACCTCTGAAGGTTCAACCAAGAGTTTATTAGATATCATGCAGCCCTGAGGCCTTGGGGTGTGCATTTCTCATGTATAGCATGGCAACAAAAAATGAGAAGAATTGCAAAAGTAACAAAGCATAAGCATTATAGGAAACGTATTACTAACTTTAGGATCATACTCATCACAGGACCTTTCATTCCAATCAGGTGCATTAACAGCACACAATGTGTCCTTGCAAAACTGAAGTTAATTTGCATTTGTTAAACATCTTTATCAAAGCCCTCTGGATATTTTTAAAGGGATTCCTCTTTGCTGCCAAATGCTTTTCCTAATAGTTGTGGTTGTATGTTGCTATGGTGACTGAACTGGGAGAGGGTGGAGACAATTTCTAACTGGCTCAGACAAGAAGACTCTAGAGCAAGAAATAATTGAGGAAACCCTAGTTAGCATCTTCCAGGTTGTTTATTGAATTTATATCTAGCAGTTCATACGCGTATCTGAAATCAAGAATATCTGCTGGAAAAGATAGTTGCTTAAGAGGCATAAGCAGTGGTGGGATTCAACCAGTGTAACAACCGGTTCGCTGAGCGTGCGCTTTGCGCGCTCATGCTTGCTTCGTTCGCACATGCACCAAACACGCATTCCGCACACGCACCGTGCATTTGAAAACAGTTCTAAAACTTCTACTTCTACCTTCTACTGCAGCCCCAGTGAGTAAAACAGCTGAGTGCGGCAATCCGCTATGCCACGCCTATCAGCTGGGCTTCAAACAATGGAAATATAGATCAGTATAGCGCAGGGGCGGGTGGGCAGGCCCAGCTGATCGTCGGAGTGAACTGGTTCGCTCTCAGCTGACCGTCAGACCTACCGGTTCGTCCAAACCAGTCCGAACCAGCTGAATCTCACCCCTGGGCATAAGGTTAAGTCAATTTTATAAAGATACAGCCTCTGATTCTGAACTGCCCTCATGATAGGGGGAAAAAAATAAGTAGAAGAAAATGCTTCATTCTTCTTCAAGCCAAAAAATCCTAAAATTATTCTTCCTCCAAGACAGGGGAAACCAAAGCAGAGCAAAGAAAGAGAACAAAGAAGGGCACACTTTGCTTACTATCACTATTCTAAAGCCCACCAGTGGTCACTGTCTAAAAATACCCAAGGAATCCATGTTTCTGAAGCAATATCCCAAAATTGGATGAGATCCAGGAACAGGATGCTGGATTTCTGTTGGGTGAGGGCAGAGTGGATGAGAGAAGTGAAGGGCTGCCAGCAGACAGCACAAGGAGAGCATTCCCACCAAATGTTCCCATAAGCGTCCTCCTGGATACACGGCTGTCTTTAGAAGAGCATATGACGGCCGTGGCCAGGGGGGCTTTCTATCAGGTTCGCCTGATATGCCAGTTGCGTCCCTTTCTGGATCAGGACTCCCTACGCATGGTCATTCAAGCACTCATCACTTCCCGTCTGGACTACTGCAATGCTCTCTACATGGGGCTCCCCTTGGGGTGCACCCGGAGGCTGCAGTTGGTCCAGAATGTGGCTGCGCGGGGGATTATAGGAGCGACGGGGCACTCCCATGTGACACCTCTCCTGCGCGAGCTGCACTGGCTTCCTGTGGTCTTCCGGGTGCGCTTCAAGGTGTTGGTGACCACCTTTAAAGCGCTCCATGGCTTAGGGCCGGGGTATTTGCGAGACCGCCTTCTGCCGCCAAAAACCTCCCACCGGCCGGTTCGCTCGCACAGAGAGGGCCTCCTCAGGGTGCCGTCAGCCAGACAGTGCCATCTGGCGACCCTCAGGGGGAAAGCCTTCTCTGTGGCAGCACCAGCCCTCTGGAATAACCTACCCCCTGAGATACGCACAATATCAAACCTCCGGACTTTTTGTCGGGCCCTGAAAACACACTTATTCCATCTAGCCGGGCTGGCTTGATCCCATCCTCTCAGTTTTAATTGATTCGGTTTTAATTGGGTTGTTTTAAATTATTTGGGCCAATATTATTTAATTGTTTTTAAATTGTTTTTAAATTTTGTATACTATGTTTTATTTTGGCTGTGCACCGCCCTGAGTCCTACGGGAGAAGGGCAGTATAAAAATATAAATAAATAAATAAATAAATAAATAAATAAATAAATAAATAAATAAGGATTTTAGAATTGCAACATAAGCAAAATACCGCACTTGCTATGGTTTCTAATGACCTGGAGCAAAGTCCAAAATAAATCAAATATGCTACCCAAAATGTACAATATTATGCATTCAAAGAGAACTGGAATTGATTCCAATGTAGGGAAAATAATGATATGGAGGTGTAGGAAGTTAGCGCCCACCCCTCTCCTAGAAAAAATGAGATATTTTAGGAAATATTAAAAGGGCAGAATATTTCCCCTAAAAGGGAGGCAGAAACTCTGGCCCCCCATCTTTGTCCATGGGCCATTAAGGCCTGGGCCAGCCTATTCTACATAACAGAGATCTACCTCCTTCAGGCAGAGCCATAGTAGGAATTGCCCAAAGCCCTTTCATTACATCATCACCCAGCAAGGCTCAACCAAGCTTGGGACTCAGGACAGCCTACAGAGTTGCCCCTGCATGGCCCCATGGGAGTCTGACAACCAATCAGAATACAAGCTCAAATTCAAAAGCCCAGAGAGGGCATAAAACTCAGGTACTCTCACATCTCTTCCCTTTTTTTCCTACCCCCAACATCATCAAGGCATGTGATCCTGTCCACCATTAAAAACCATATTTTCAAACATGTTTCCAGTGTCTTTTTCCCCACTTGAACTAAACACAGATGGACATTTCTTCCAACAGAGGCAGGAGTGAAATGCTCCCGTTCAGACCAGATCGTCCGATCCGGTAGTGATGGCGGCGGGTGGTTTGGAGAACCGGTAGCAAAAATCCCTGCGCGCCCCCCCCCCCATGACCAGCTGAGCCGCATGATCATCAGAGGCTTTTTTAAAAAAAAACTTTTAAAAGCATTTTTTCTACAACCTCTTCCGCCAAAAAAAATGCTTTTAAAAGTAAAAAAAAAAAGCCTCTGATGATCGCACAGCTCAGCTGGGATCGTCAGAGGCTTTTCAACGCATTTTTTTCTGCAACCTCTTCAGCCGAAGAAGTGGTAAAAAAAATGTTTTGAAAAGCCTCTGACGATCCCAGCTGTGTTGCCTGATCAGCAGAGAGGCTTTTAAAAGCATTTTTTGCTACAATCTCCTCGGCCGAATCCAGCCCACCCAGTCACATTACACCCCCCCAAGCCATGCCCACAGAACCAGTAGTAACAAATTTTACATTTCACCCCTGAACAGAGGTATCCTGAATGTCACCATATGGTGCATAAAAAAAAAATTGTTAGTAACTCAACACATACTATGAAAGAGATATACAGTATGATAAATCTTTTACTTACTCTTAGAAAATCGCCAGCTATTACTGACTGTAAAAGTGCTGCAAAGACATAAAGAGATATTATTAACAATCATATTTATTGCTGGCAAAAAGAGGCATTTATTTCTCTTGATTATGTTAACCAAATATATTCTGGAGGCTGATATTCTAGAGACATGATCTTCTAAGGATTTTTAACAGTGCATTTTGAGGCTTATATTAGTTTGTGTTTAAACTAACTGATCTGTTTGATGTGAATTCAGCAAGGACTCTTTGTAGGACAATACAGGTAGTCCTCAACTTATGACCACAATTGAGCCCAAAATTTCAGTTGTTAAGTGAGATATTTGTTGTGAGTTTTGCCCCATTTTACGACCTTTCTTGTCACAGTTGTAGAGTGAATCACTACAGTTGATAAGTTAGCAACATGGTTGTTAAGTGAATCTGGCTTCCCCATTGACTTTGCTTGTCAGAAGGTCGCAAAAGATGATGACCTTGGGACACAGTAACCGTCATAAATATGAACCACTTGCCAAACATCTGAATTTTAATCACATGATCATGGGGATGCTGCAAAGGTCGTTAAGTGTGAAAAATGGTCATAAATCACATTTTTTTCAGAGCCGTTGTAACTTTAAAACAGTCACTAAGTGAACTGTTGCAAGTCGAGGATTACCTGTATGCTCCTGAACATAAACTGAGCATAGAAAGAATACTTTATAAGTAAAAGTAATGACCAATAATATAGCTACTCTGGCTGCAGAGCAGTGGTGGGATTCAGCCAGTTCGCACCACTTCGGGAGAACCGGTTGTTAACTTTCTGAGCAGTTTGATGAATTGGTTGTTGGAAGAAATCATTAGGGCAGAGAACCAGTTGTTAAATTATTTGAATCCCACCACGGATGCAGAGTATGGGCCCAGCCAGGGGTGAAATCTACTTACCTTCCCTACTGGTTTGGAAGTGCACCTGCTGCGTGCACATGCTCACTTCGCTCGCACGTGTCATGTGTGCGCGCATGCGCAAACCCTTCTGCGCATACACAGAGGGCAAAACAGGTTACTTCCTGGTTAAAACCAACCAGGCAGGTGGACGGAGCCTCGTGCTGCCATCGCTACTGGTTCTCCGAACCACCCACCACCATCGCTACCCAGTAGCATTTCACCCCTGAGCCCAGCTATCAATGAATGCTAATAGACATTCACTATGTTTGAACTAAAAGCTAGTTTTTTAGAAATATATGAAGATAGTAAGACCTTGCATTTCTCTCTCACTCTCTCTCTCATATATAGAGGGAGGGAGAGAGCTATCATTAGGTCAAGTGAAAATTGGCACAGAGAATTTTCTTTTTTTACCATTTGCCCTAGTATTCAAAATGGCTCATAGGTGCAATAATTTTGTACAGGTGTAAATAACTACACCAATAGAAGCATCTGCAGAAAATTGAAACAGACATTGCAATAACAATAGCAACTGACTCACAGCATTGCATTGTTGGAAGTAGCCATTTAGACCATCAGATCTAACTTTCACTCAGTGGAGGTTTCCAGTTTAGGGTTTTTGCCAGAAAGCTGTCCAGCTTTTTCTAAAACTCATCTAAGAACTATATTGTTAAACTGTTCTCATTATCAGATTTGTTTTTCTAATATTCAGTGCATTCTGCCTTCTCAAGAACTTATTATTCTTAAACTCTGGAATAGTAAAGGATTGCTGTTAATATTCCGACATACTTTGAGTACTTGTGCTATTGTATCCTTTTCAGTCTTCTGTTCTCAAGACTAAAGGTGTTGTAGGATGTTAGCACCCACCCCTCTCCTAGAAGAATGAAATATTCTAGAAAATATTAAAGAGGCAGAATATTATACCTCCCTTGATGAGAAAAGGAGAAACATACTCTTGGAAAGCAGCCCCCACCTTCATTAATAGCCCCAGAAAGACTGGGCTAATATCTACAAAACAAAAGGCCTTCAGCTCCAGGGTGATAGGATTAGCCCTCACTCAAGATCCAAAGCAGGACAAAGTCATTAAGCCATAATAGGAATTGCCCAACACCCTTTCAGAATACATGCCTCTTCATTACATCACCCAGCATAGTTCAATCAAGCTGGACTCAATAATAATAATAATAATAATAATAATAATAATAATAATAATAATAATGATAATGATAATGATAATGATAATAATGATAATAATTTTATTTCTATAATAATAATAATAATTTTATTTCTATACCGCCCTTCTCCCGAAGGACTCAGGGCAGAATACAGCCAATTTAGACTCAGAAAATCTACAAGGTTAGCTATGACCCCTACAGCAGCCAATAGCTTGCCATAGGAAGAGGAAGCTCAAATTCAAAGCCTAAGAGAGGGTATAAATCTCTCTCTCACCCATGAGCTCATTTGTTCAAGACCCAAAAAAATCCCATGTGGTCCTGTCCACCATTAAACCATCTTTCCAAACAGCCTCCATATTTCCAGTGTCTTTCTCCCCACTTGGAACTGAACCCAGATGGACATTTCTTCCAACAGTGTTTAGCTTCTTTAAGTGCTTTTTATAAGATGATGTTTCTAGTTCCCTGATGATCATCATCACTGGCTTTTTTTGAACCTATTCCAGTTTCTCAATTAATTCAATAAACAGATTATAAACCTTGTAATCTGGGAATTCAAACAAACTAAATTCTCTCAAAATGCACAAAGAAGAATTTGGCTGCAAATTCTTCGTTACTTCTTCTTAGCAGACAATGTCAAATAGATTGAAATTGTGCCAAAATCTATCCTTCAATTTATCAAAATTTTCTTTTAGATTTTGTTTTGTGTCCTAACCTCAATGTCAGAGAGAATTATCCAATCTGTTTTATTCTTTTCTGTTTTATTTTTCTAGTGTCTCTTTTACCAAAACTACTATTGTGTACTTTTGTTTCATTTTCCCTATTATTTTGCAGGCTTCCCAACTGCTTTGCTAAAAAAATAATAATGAACATCCCTCATGATGTCCTTCTTTATGATCAAATGAAGGCTGAAATGTTGGAGGAGTAAGTGATTCGCTTATACACTATTGGAGGGAGTTAGCACCCACCCCTCTCCTAGAAAAATGAAATATTCTAGGAAATATTAAAAAGGCAGAATATTTCCCCTAAAAGAGAAAGAGAAGTCTTAAAACAGAAACTCAGCCCCAGCTCCCTGCCCCCAGCAGATACTTTGGTTATTTACAGGACAAAAGGCTGGGCCAGCTTATCTACAACACAAAAGACATGGCCCTCATGTCTTTTGTGGACATGATAGAATTTGCCCTCACTCAAGATCCAAACCAGGACAAAGCCATTAAGCCATAATAGGAATTGCCCAAAGCCCCTTCATCACCCAGCAAGATTCAACCAGGCCTGGGACACAGACAGCCTACAAATTTAGCTAAGTCCTCTACCCCCTGGGAGTCTGACAGCCAATGGGATACATTTCTTGTACAGGAACAGGAAACTCTAAGGCATGGCCCAAGAGAGTGTATACATATATCCCTCTCTCCACTCCATGTGCTCTTTTTTGTCCAGGACCCAAAAACCCCATGTGGTCCTGTCCACCATTAAACCATCTTTCCAAGCAGTCTCCATGTTTCCAGTGTCTTTCTCCCCACTTGGAACTGAACCCAGATGGACATTTCTTCCAACACTATTGACCACTTCATCAAATAATAATAGTATATGAACTCCATAGCCCACCATAAGAATTTCACTGAAGTATTTTTCTTCTTTGAGCAATCATCAAAACATGTTTTTCATCAAATTACAATGGTAGGAAATGCAGCAAAAAAATCCATTATTATATTATAACAGATTACTTAGAAGAGTAAATCCAGAGATAAGAATTCATTGCTGAAAAATCTACATACTCTCATCTATAAATTCTTACACATTGCTGAGACGTTCTTTCAACAAGCTGAGCATAACAGTGTGCTGAAACTAGAGAGACAAATCATATATATCATTGATAGAATTTCCACCCCGACATAGTGTAAGATATGAACAATTTCAATGATCAAGCTGTGACCTCTAGGTTAGATCATCTTTTTTGGTAAAGTCAAAAGGGAGGCCAGAAGCTATCGTGATCCACAATATATAGAATCTGCAGGTTTGAGGGAAACTAACCTACCTAAGAGAATTATGCTGGTCTTTGACCACAATAAAAGTTTGATTTGATTTGATTACCTAAGAGAACAGTTCTAAAGTCAAACAGAAGGCCATGAAAATTGTATGAATATGTCTGAATCTGTTGTGGCCCGCCAGCAGAGTGGCAGCAGATTCAGACAGTAAGGAGGTTGAGGAGGAACATAGGCCAGTCCTGGAGTCTAGGAAAGGCTCTGATGAGGGCTCTGCATCGGAGGCAGAGATGGGCCAGGGCCATTTGCCAGCTATCAGCCGCCTTCGGAGGCAGACATCAGTGAGGCAGATGAAGAGCTGGAGCCTGTTCCCAGTATGCATATGTGCAGGGATGAAGGGAACAGCTAAAGAACAAGGGTCAACTTGAAAGTAAGGCCACAGGTGGACGATGAATGGCCCCTCCCATAGGAAATAAAAGAGAGGCTTTTGCAGGAAACAATTTGTTTGGTCGATCAGTTGGTTCAGGAGTGTGAAGATCTATCCATGAATCTCAGAGACTTTGTGCCAAGTCTTTCCTTGCACAGCACTGCGTTTGGAAAATATTTACATGGCAGCTTTCCAAGCTAGATGTGGTCTGTAGTCATAAATTCACCTTTGAAAGACTGTTTGCCAGGCCTTTCCTGAAGGTGAATGAGAAGAATTCACTGTTTGTTTAGGAAAAGGGGTTTTGTCGGGACCAGGAATCTGCTTCGTGCTTTTTGGGGAAGCTTAGGTCAGAACAGAATCGCTCTGATAATATCAGAAAGCTAGAACCACAAAAATGTGATTCTTTCAGTCAGACTTGGAGTGCTCAGTTCACATTAACTTGGACTACTGTTTACTAATGTGCAAAGCGGATTTTACATGCACACATATAATTGGAACATGCAATTTGAGAAGTATGAACCAAAGGAAACCTGAAATTGT